GGTCATTTAGGTCAGGGTCATGAAATTTTCAGGGCAGGTGTAAAATTGATCAATGCGAGGGTACTGAAAGTTTCGTCGCGATCGGCCGCTTTTTACGCGAGTTATTCGCGAAAAACCATGGGGGGTCCATCCGACCCCCCCCCCCTACACATGCGAGGGTTAAGGTACTGTTTAGCTCTGGACATCTTGGAGTTTATGTCACTTCAGGTATTTTAGCTAGCGTCTACCACATACATATATAGCACGGGTCGATGAAAATCGTGATGCAAAATAGAAAAAAATGTGTGTTTTAGATTCCTTTAAATTCATTTTTTTCCTTTACCTACATGCATTATATTGCATATCATTCGCTTCGGCTGATCAAGAAGAACACAATGAAACCATTTTTGAAGCTCTAGCTTCATTGTTTGTCAGGTTATCTGCAAAAACGTAGTTTCACCCTAGTTGACCTCAAGTGACATGGCCGTTCTTGTAGCATACAAACATAAACTTAGTCACATATTGATATAAACTGATAGTGTAACCCAAAGCCGTTAAAATGGAGCGGATGTCTCCCATATTTTTACAGTAAAAAACAGACAAGCAATCGCCCTTCATCCATAACTGATAGCTATGCGCACTGGAATAGAGCGTCAAGCTGAAGATGCTTTGTCTATGATAACATGGTTATTTTCGAGGTTTATCTTTGGGCGAGGTCTAAACCAAACCTACTCAGTATCTATTATCTCATGGAAAACAGGGGTTTAGTGGCATTGCTCTCGGTTAGGGGTAAGCTCGGCCATTCGCCCGGGGTTACCCCAATGTGCTAATTTTATTTTTGCTCTATAACTTTAACCATATACAATTTTTGTTCAGCCTTCACTTTTGTGCTGCGTTGCCTCAGCTGCCACGCTGCAAGGACAAACAGTTAAGCATTTTATTGTGAATAATTTAGCCGGAAACGGGATGGCCGGGCTTTCCCCACGGCCGGGCTTCTCCCGGCTTCCCATAAAGCTTACAAAACTCGTTACTGACAGCCCAAGTATTCATAGGAGCTGTGATTAGTTCCGAAAAATTTCCGGGCTATGCTAACTCTCCCCAACACAAAATGTTATAATCGATGAGTTTTCGTCCGCGCGAACAACACAAGAGTTTCTTAGCACATATGACTAGAAAAGTTGTGCATTTGGGTTAGGGCTATGAGCCGACAATATCCTTTTAATCCTCTAGTTTTGTCTTTGCCGCGCGCCGCAGCGGCCGGCCGAGTCGTCAGCCGTGTGTGTATGTGTGACCTTGCACAGCCGAGGACAGCAGGCCCGTCGCGGCCGGCCGCTATAAAGGCCGCCGCCGGCCGTCCACCGACACAGTATCGCTCACCTCACCTCTCCACTCACATCATGAAGCTGCTGGTAAGCGGCTAAATGCACTGTAGTGACAAAGTATCGTCCGAAAAGATTACAATTAACTTTCGGCTTTCGTCTTTGCCAACTTCTTTGCCATTTCTATAGGAAAATATGTGAAGAATGGTGGTGAAAGAATGTGTTAGCATATCGCTTCCATCATTAATTTTCAACACTAAGACCAGCAATGCGTGCACCATTGCGACTGTTTCCATAGCACGCTACCACCAGCGACAATATCCTGCAGCTTTCGCTGACGGTCGCCGCCCGTTTCAGGCGCTGCTGGTTGTCGTCGTCGCTGCCGCCGCAGTGGCCGAGGCCGACGGGGGATATGGCCACCAGACGTGAGTACCCAGCGCTCAGACGCGCCACTCCGTGCACCTCTGTGTCAGCTGTGTATGTACACTGGCCGGACACCGGTACAGAGGTGCCGGCCGCGGCGGTCGTCCGGTGCTCCCCGCACCCGCTCACAGCCGCCCACAGATGGCCGGCGCCCGTGTCTGGCCGTTCGTCCGATATACACACACCCGTACCGGCGTACCCTGCCCCGAGTGTGACCCGAGCCCGGCGCCGCTGTCCGCAGACACTACCCGGTCAAGACGATCGTCAAACACCGCCGCTACCCGGTGGTGAAGCACCAGCCGTACCCGGTGGTGCGCCGCGTGCCCGTCTACAAGCCCGTCCACAAGACGGTCGTCAAGCACGTGCCCCAGCCGTACCCGGTCGTCAAACACGTGCCCGTCGTCAAGCACGTGCCCGTGGTCAAGGAGGTGCCCGTGGTGAAGCACGTGCCGGTCGTGAGGCGCGTGCCCGTGGTGCAGCACAAGTACCATGTCAGGAAGGTGCCCGTGCACGTTCCCGTCTATGTGCAGAAGCCCTCTTACGGCTACGGCCACCATTAAAACTTCCGGCATCTATAAATTAATCCATTTCTCCTTGCTGCACTGCCGCGCTGTGGTCTGGTGTCTTCCGACCGCGCCCACCCACAGAACCCCCATCCGGCCCCTGGGCGGCGCCCCTCCCGGCTCCCGGGGTGCTGCAGACCGTGTCCGCCGCACTGGAGCGTCTGTCTATGCCGCGCTGTGTTACCGCCAATGTGTTGTGAACTGCCTGTGTATGCTGCGATAGCACCCCTGTGCTGTCAAATATACAGTATATATCGTATCGAGAGGCTTTTGAGAGCAGTGGGAGGCGCCTTTATGAAAAGGGTAATGGCTAATCGGGGCATATACGGTACTTTGAAGGCTGGATGCACACATGCTCAAATCACTGACGGTCAAATCTCAACTCGCTGGACAAAGGCTTCCTTTGAGCTGGGACCGTACTAGTCTAAGATGGGGCCATGGACGCTGTCATTTGACTCTTTTCAGTCTGCTAAATAGATCGTGCACTGCAAGATCTTTTCAAAGATTCTTATTTAACATACGGCGGCGGCGCTAATGAGTATATGATTTTTGAAAACTCAGAAAATGCAGGTTAATTTCTCGATGGTAAATGTCTGCATCTCGAATGCAAATGTTCTTAGTTTTTACTGAAGAAAATTTTCCAGCATAAATTGGAGGTCTTTAAATTGAGTAGCACGTCTAACGAACAAACTGATATAAGAGACGGACTAATTCTTTAAGCATTCCACGGAGCATTGGTCGTGTCGAATCATCGATTGTATGTTTCCATACTCAGAACTCCCACAGGCGTCTTTTTTAATTTATTTGTGAGGCTTTAATAGTTAATTTGGAATGCAAAAGTCATGTCTACGATGCAAGGTAATAGGGCTAATGCAAAAATACCGAAATTATCGATATGGCTTGAACCCTACCCCGCCATATACATAAAACGACACCCATGTATACGTAGCCCGCGCATGACTGGGGGGGTCTACAGAGCCCTCCTCCTGGTTTTCTGCAATATCTTCCAAACCGCTGGGTGTATTGACACGAAACTTTCGGGATCAATTTGACACCTTGTGTCGGAAGAAAAACATCGATACTCGATAGGACTAGGTACCCTAAGTCGGCCGGAAATGATTTAAACTGACTTAAATTTTCAGTGACCTAGCTTGACCTAGCCTTTAGCTGAAAGTTGAAACATAGGTATGAAATACAAGCTCGGTACACTTAGGATATTCAGCACAAATTTGCAAGTGTATAAACCCAAAATGAGCACGATGTACCTTTTCATTTCAAGCGACGGCCAGAGCCAAAAGTGTGAACATGCACAAATGTTAAGAATGCTTACTTTGCCCTTACCTGTGACGTCATCGGTGCCCTTTGGGCCAATGGGCAATGACATTAGACTTAATTCAACAGCTTTCCAGGGTTATCGAGCCCCTTTCGAATTTTGATAGAGGAAGGGCTCCGTAGAACCCCCTCCCCCCTCCCCCCCAAGTCACTCGTGTTATGGAATATACCCCAATCATGCGCGGGTTAAACAAGGAACCACGCATCAAATCTTTTTATTGGTCTGCTGCAACAGACAACCGCTGCAAGTTATGAATTCCAACATATGAATGCCTTTATATCGCTGACCGACGACCGGCCAGAAATGATAACATCACTCATACTGTGTGGCATCAGGCGTGGTTGCACAGAATTAATGGCTTACGCTGCTCACTTGAAATGAATTGCCTTTTCCTCATTCGTAAACGGTACCGAGGTTGCGCTGTTACTCAGATTATTTGCCAATGTTATGCATGGATATGGATATGTATTGTCTTTTTTCTAAGATGGCATGTGATAACCGAATCTGCACTCTACCGTAGTGCGTAGTTATTCTTTTGAAGCTAGCCAACTTTTGTGTAGTTTGCATTTTCACTAATTTACGTAGCTCCTTTGTTTTATTTTGCATAACACTTTGCAATTGAAGTTGACTTAAAGTAGGTACCTCGAAAATTTTTACTTTTTAGGCTATTTCAAAGTGAGAGGCCTTAATAATCATGATAACCAGTGGTGAGAGGCCTTACATAAATATAAAAGTATATTTTGTTAATGTAGGTATATGTCATCATCAATATTTTTAGACGAATAGGTAGTTTTAATCAGCATAAAATGGCTAGCGAATGAAAGGCTGCCTACCAAAATGTTTAAATAGAAGATGAATGAAAATACTTATGCAAATATACCTTGCAAATCGGCATCCGCGTTTTATGTGATTTACGTCGTTTAGTATGCCTACATACGTCATGCACTGATCTGCCCATAGCGCACTTGCTTGTGAAAAAGCGTTTGGTCTACACGCAGATCCGAGTGAGGTAGGTATCGGTGCCACTGAGTTCAGTGTCTCATGCTTCCGTGGTCTGGGTGGTGAGTTTTTCGAATGGTCAGACGCCTAACACTGCTCTGATTGGCGCCGAGCCGGACCGGCGACGCGAGTCGGACCTACGCGGGAGTCCCGCCCTGGCCGTGTCGTATGTGCCCTGTCTCTGACTGTGCATCCCGGTTTGAGTCCCGTGAGACAGCCGACATCGCATGGAAAGTGTCTGGAATGACAGCCCCTTTGTCCGACCACCAGCCCCGGCCTGATTGACGCATATATGAGACGACTACAGTGATGGCGCTTCGATAGCAATGTTCCCTGTCGACTGTAAGTCAGCAACAGCGTGGTTAGTACAGACAAAGTCGTACATCACAGAGAGTCAGTGTATTCAGTGCATACATTGTATACAAACGTACACCACAGTTGACACATTTCAGATGGAGCAGGCAGTGACCAGTCGGGGTACGGCAACATGGCTTGCAGGCCACAGGCCATCAGGCATAGCTCGGCGCTGATTGGCCACATGAAATATAAATATCACACAGCGCGGATGCAGACGGATGAATCATACGTTATCGGGATGATAGCTGCAGGGGAAGTTCGTGGCCGCAGCCGGCTCAGTGGTGGCCGTACCCGCCGTGGCCGTGGCCGTACTTGGGCTTCTCGACGTAGACGGGCACCTTGACGGGCACCTTCTCCTCGCGGTAGTGGTGCTTCACCACCGGGTAGTGCTTCACCACCTCCACGTGCTTCACCACCGGCACGTGCTTCACCACTGGCACGTGCTTGACGACGGGCACGTGCTTGACGACCTGGTACGGCTGGGGCACCTTCTTGTAGACGGTGTTGTAGACGGGACGGTAGACGGGCACCGGCTTGATGACCTCGTAGGGCACGCGCTTCACCACCGGGTACGGGTGGTGTTTGACCACGGTGCGCACCGGCTGGTACCTGGGGAAAACAACACAGGGGTTAAATGGCGGCACATTCTTGCTTTGGAGAACACAGCGCCGAAAATACCAGACATTTTATGCACACCTTATGCGAGAAGTGACTGCTTGAAAAGAATTCATCCATGTCAGGCGAGTAGTTAGTGACAGCCGTGCACTGTGATAATGGCAGGGAGGTGGAATTACCCGATGTGCTCCGTCTGGTAGCCGCCGTAGCCTCCCCGTGGTGTCCGCGCCGGCCACCGCCCAGGCCGAACGCCTGCGTCGAGGCTACCACGGCCAACAGCACAGCCTGGCGAAACACGGCACTCGGATCAGATCGACGGCACTTGGCAGTTGGCAAATGTGAGGCACCCTATACTCGTCACTCGAGTCTAGAGGCGACGTACCGCTTAGACATGTGCATAACGTCTATGCAGAAGCTTATTTATTTTGCTTTGATTTTATAGCTGAAGACCTTGCGAGTTATGACAACAAAGCCTCAAACTATTTGATTTTAACATGGCTTTTCACATAATTGTATTGATTACTTGCAAAAACTGATAAAAAGCTGAAATAATTAGATGACCTAGAAGTAGGTCACAGTGAGCAGTGCCGCTTACCAGCAGCTTCATGATGTGAGTGGAGAGGTGAGGTGAGCGATACTGTGTCGGTGGACGGCCGGCGGCGGCCTTTATAGCGGCCGGCCGCGACGGGCCTGCTGTCCTCGGCACTGCAAGGTCACACATACACACACGGCTGACGAATCGGCCGGCCGCTGCGGCGCGGCAAAGACGAAACTAGCGGATTAAAAGGATATTGTCAGCTCATAGCCCAAAATCAAATGCACAGCTTTTCTAATCACATATGCCAAGAATTATGCTTGAGTTGTTACTTTTTAGCATGCATTACAATTCATCGACGATAGGTAGATAATAGCCGTTTTCACGACGGCCATTTGGTACACATTTGGTGCACATTTGGTGCAGATAGGTGCAGATTTCGTCAAATTAGGTTCAGTGTGTCTCTTAGTAGCTATCAGCTAGAGTTGCACTAATTGCTTATATGCCTGCTTTGTCATAATATCAGAAAGTATTAGAGATGTCAATCGGATACCAACTTTTTGGTATACCAATACCAAACCGATACCAACTTGGTATTTGGTATTTCAATCGTAATGTGTTTGGTATTTTGTTGGTATCATAAGCCCTCACATGTATTAGAGGCTAAGAAATCGGTAAAAAAGTTGGTATTTCCCTCAGTTTCTCAAGTTGGTTTGGTTTCGGTATTCTCCCGTGGTTTTAGTTGGTATTTGGTTTGGTATCGGTATTCCGATTTCCGTGATTGACATCACTAGAAAGTATCATCGATTAAAACACTGAAATAAATGCATAAATAAAGACATTTGCTGTAAAAGAGATTAAGTGCAGATTTGGTCAAATTAGGTGCATTTGCCGGGTAGTCCGTCATGAAAACGGCTATTATGTGTTGGGGAGGATGGGCATTGGCGGGTAGTTTTTCAGATCACCACACCTCCTACCTACTTCGGTTGTCATTAACGGATTTTTGCAAGCTTTACTTTGTATGCATTTCAGCGCTTTTATGAGAGACAAAGCTAAGCAAGTTAAATAGTTAAATTGCTCTGGGGACCGGATGTAATTTTTAGTCGGCATGATGTGATGAGTGATGAAAGTGGGTTTAGGGGCACCGACCATCGGCGCAGCCGGCAGTGCCCCAACAGTCGGGTCACTAAACTTACGGGCAAAACAAGCGTTCAGACAGTTGGCACGCTCCCCTAGTTATATAGACGGTCATCACGTTCCAAGACCGGAGACACTTGTGATGACGACTTAATAGCTAAAACAAACTACCAGTAACGTTTGGGGTTGTCTTTAAAGTCGTCAGCAAGACTCAGAAGGTACTGACGGTATACCGTGGCTACTACCGATTTAAACTCTGCCCTCGCGGCAAAAAAACTGGTGTAGGTTCTCCAAGGATGGATCCACTTTTTTACGGCGAAAGGCTTGTCCCTTTTTACGAAGGAGATCCCTGACTAACCAGTCAAACTAAGGTGGGTGCTTAGTCTTCAGTTCTACAGTCGGGATGTGATCGAAAATGGCAGCCAGAACAGACCCGTAAAACATTGAGCAGCACCATCTACGTCGCATCCACGCAAACAGCTTCACGGCAAAAGACGCAGAGTACCTACCTAAGTAGTGCGGAGACCTTCAAAGCCCGCCTGCTTGTAGTTGTAGGCTCTCGTTCTGCGCGCAGTGCGACCACAACTAACAGACAATCACGTCACTACCATTCGGTGATCTGAGTTAAAAATGCCATCGACTGGCTCCAAGACTGCAGCCGCACCGTGAGTGAGAGACAAGTCCAAGATATTGTCACCGCGCGTGGGGGACATCACTGACTGGTGCACGTCACATTCAGCCAGAATATCGAGGACAGTTATTGCACGAGTGGTGCGTTTCAGTACACAAGGCCATACATCGCCGCGAACCCGAGGAACTGGCAGCCCTATTCGACACTAACGGCGCCATCCGGGAGACACAATCTAGGCAAGAACACCTCTTCCATCTTCCGCGTTCGCGCCTGGAAACAAGCAGGCGATTAAATGCAGTCTGCCAGCTCACCTGTCGCAGCTGCCTCCCGCCCGCTTAGCCCGCTCAGTTAAACTGCCGCGATTGTGGACGGAGAGTCAACGCATCGTCGCTGACCAGCGGGATGGGGGGTGACAAGCAGGTGGGTGGGTGGGCAGGGGGGGTCTGGGTTGGTGCTACGGAAGTA